TTTGCTATCAACCCAGATGACATAGACATAGGCTTAGATACGACATTCTCCTTGACGTCACTATCTTTCGCATCCGCATCACAAGTATTTGGCGGCACATCAACTGCAGGTGAACAGTTGAAGAATCCATGTGGCTGCAAAGCAAACAACAGAACATTTGTTTTAAACTTTTAAGCACACTTTGAAAAAAGGTAAGCGTGGTAAATTGGTAAATGTGATGTATTTGAAAACATGAAATTTAGATAGCAAACATACTTGAAGCACAAAGCCAATGTGTTCGACCGGCATGACAGGCCAGTCTTCCAAGCGTGGAACATGTGTAATTCCAAAAATATACCTACATTTTGAACTAAATGATAAGTGAGGAAAAAGGGTTCTAGCAATGTAGAATGATGCCTTGATTTAAAAATTAGCTTCAATTACCCCAAAAACAATTTTTTTTTTTTTTTAAAAAAAATCGAGCTTTGATCAGGAGACTAACCAGAGTACAATATTAGTTTCTTCAAGAGGCCGATTTCGTTTGACCCAAGAAGCCAACCCTTCCCCAACACGCGGATTCTGGTTAGGAAATTCTCCTCCAGGAAAGTCCTCTCCACGTGCATATGGCGTAACCCATAAGTTGTGCTTCAGAAATGCACATCTTCTTAAAAATTTGGCCTCTGGGCCGGCAAATGGCAAACAATTCGAACCAGGTACCAACTTGTAGCCTGTTAGCTGTCCGGTCCTATTCACGGTTCTGGTGTTTCTAATCTGTAATTGTCGGTGGACAAAAGAACAGGAATTATAATACCCAAGGATGATTTTAGCGTAATTAAAGACTTTTTATCCACTTATATGAAATGAGCAGGTGAGGTTTCTTACAATCCAGTGGCGGGCGGATAATGGATCACAATCACGCATGGCTTCCAATTCAGATCTAAGTAAAGTCTCTTCAGCGTAGAATGCATTGTTGTGAACATTATCCTTCCCTGGTTCTTCGATTCTCATGTTCACTTCAACAACCTACATATGATGGCCAAAAATAATAGTAATATTTGTTAAATGTCTTCTCCTTTGGTCACAATAGTAATTGCCTATGGTCAGCCCACTCGGATCGAAATAGGATCTCGATCAGCATAATTTATCGTGCCAACAGCCAAAGTTATGAAGTTTAAAATCACAAACCTGATTATGCATTTCTCCAGGTCTACAGTCAACCGCCATGTCCATACGAGCAACAAAAAAGTGTTGGTGAACTGGGGCATACAGTCCTGGGGCAATTGATGTGCCATATTTTCTAGATTCTCCAGGTTGAAGTGCTCCTAAACTAAGGATTCCAGTAAGTTTAACCTCGGCTTCTATTTTGCCGTCCTGTAGCAATGTACCATCCACATTAGAAGCAGGAGTACAAAGAAAATCTATCGATTGGATCAAGGGATTAAAGCCCTTACATTAGAAAGAAAAAAGAAAGGTTGAAGGTCTTTCTTTGCTGTTGTCATGACTTGTCTTGTAATACAAGGATGTATATCAAACTAAATAGTGCACTTCACTTGCAAGAAAGCTTGTACAATGTACACTTAGATCCAAGCAAATTCCCTTTTACAAACATGAGATTCATATTTCAAGCTTCCTAACTTTACTTTTCTCACATGCATATCTAATAAAATGAAACAGATCTAATAAACTGAAACTTTTAATACTCCTACTTGCCTGATAAAAGTACCAGTAGAATCCATATTCATAATTAGCCACTGTGCAAATAAAAGAAACAGCCAGACGCCTTGATCTCCGAACTTCTGTAAGGCCAGTTCTCCAGTCTTGATGCTTCCATAAGATCCCATGATCTTCTTCGTGCAAGCATACACAGTTCTCGGTAGTTTCAACTCCTCCAGTGAAATTTGTGAAATGTGCATCAAAGTACTTTACATATCCCAGACAATCGCAACCCTGAAATTGAAAAGCGCTTGAGTGCCAATTGGACTGAAAAATCAATGCATAGCTCCACAACAAGCCATGAGATTAGCCTAATTGTTGAAAAGGTAAAAACATTGATGTTTAAAAACGTCAATTGTCGCCTGACAGTAGTTTCTCTTTCACAGATCATAAAGATGGAGACTTGTGCTAGTAAAGACAAACCTTCAATTATAAGGGGTGGTGCTTAAAGCAAGCTAATGAGTTTTTGTAATTATGAAATATAGCTGCAGTTAAGTGTCCTTACAATTGAAACTATGAAGGTAGCAAAGATCCAAAAAAGCAGGGATACCTTTCTAAGAGAATGAGCATTCTTTCCCAGCCCATCTTCCCCAGCATCAAATGCATTTTTTCTGTAATGTGGATCATTGGGATCTCCATATGGCACAACCATCTCCACAAAACTCAACCTATGTGCAATAGGTCTACGACCTCGACTGCCATCAACATAGGCAACAGAATGAATGACCAAGCCCTCCCTCGGAGTGAAACCAATGCGGAAGTTCCACTGCGGACCAGCATTAGACAAACTCCTGTTAGACAATGATCTTAAAGATAAAAAGAAATAATACACACACACACACATAGGACATGATCTAAATGAGATCCACACCTTGTAAGCATGATGCTATTTTTTAACCAATTACCAAACAATAAAAAACTCAGGGAAAAAAAAAGCTAAAACCTTAAAAGCATGAAAAAGTTTAAAGAAAATTAGAAAATATAAGGATCGGGAAAATACCCAACAAGCTTGAGGATAAAA